GCGACTCTGAATTAAATAATCCCATTTCGAATAATGTCACTTTAAGTGGAAAAACTCCATATTCCTCGAAAAAGGAGGTGTGACAATGATATTACCAAAGCTTCATTGTGTGGTAAAGTAAGGCCAGCTACATCTTCCTTATTGAAAGAAATATCATCATCCTCTGGTGCTTCCCATATTCACTTTCCATGAGTGACCAATATCTTCGTCTTCTTTGCAACCGAAATTGTCATACCATTCACTTCAACTCGTCCAAAATCAAGTTTATTGTGAGACGAGGAGACCAATTGGTTTTGCCGGTTTCATTGTATCACAACCTTTCCCATAATTATTCTTAGCCCGGTCACTCAAAAGTTCTCTAAGATGACCATTTTTCAGCAACATTGCTACCTCTTCACGAAGATGCCTGCAATACCCAGTCCTATGACCATGTGTACCATGGAACTCATACTATAAACTAGGATCTCATTGACTAGGGTTCGATTGATTTGATTTCGGAATCTTGCTTCTCTTATGTTCCTCATAGTAGAGACCATCTCCACCAAGCTAATATTAAAATTGTAATCGGACAACCCGGGATAACTTAAATCCCGGGACCCCCGACGACTCTTTATCTTGTAAAGTTCTGCTACTTCGCCCACGATCAGTCCTTCTATCCAAAGACTGATAACCTCGAACTACAATTCCTTGCCATGTCCGTTAATCTAACCTTTCATTAGACACATATAGTTAAAAACGGCTCCTAGATGGCCTCCGGTATACTTCGAGGTCATTTTACCTTTCTAGATTCCGATCACGATTTCGAATGTTGAAAGACACCGGGGAACCCAATTGATTGTCTTCAATTCTAGTTTTATATTCATAGCGGTTAGACATCTGTTTATGTGGTTTCTTGAGATTCTAACAAGTTTTCCTTCAATTTCTTTGGGGCATTAGAGCTTAAAGGATTAAGGCCCTTGGTAAATGCTTCCGCTGCCCATTCATCTGGTACTGCCGGTAACAACATTCTCTTCTTTTGGAACCTGATCACAAACTCTCGAAGTAACTCTGAGTCTCCTTGAGCGATTCTGAAAATATCTGCTTTCCGGGCTTGGACTTTCCTTGCTCTAGCGTGAGCTTTGATGAAAAAATCTACAAGCATTTTAAAAGAATAAATTGAGTGTTCAGGTAAAAGTGAATACCATGTTAGATCCCATTTTCTTAGGATTCCCCAAAGTTCTTTAGCAAAGCTGATTCAATCTTATGTGGAGCCAACTTATTTCCCTTCACAACTGTGGTGTACATAGTATATGCTCCTGCAGATCCGATGTCCCATCATATATTGGAATATATGCATCTTAAACATCTTTGGGATCAACTCCGGGGCTGCACTAGGTTTGAATGGCAACTGTATATACTTATTTGAGTTGGGGCCCTTTAGGAATAGAGGTGCCCCCTGGATTTGATCCATCCGAACGTGAAATTCTTTAGCATTCTGATCCATTCGAGCATTTATTTCTCTCAGGCACCTCATGATCTCGGTCTTTAGAGGATAGCTTGCGTTGTTTTCATTTCCAGATCCACTACCTGCACCGCTTGCTTGGTTTTTGTTCGATCTAAACTCCCCCCTTGAAGCGAAGTTATCGGTTCTTAGAGCCGTTTGAATTATAGGCACGCCAGAAGGGGGTCGAACTCACCATTTGAATTATTTGAAGCCACCGATAACGCTTGTTGAAGCTCAGTCATTATACGATCATGTCTTGAGAGAGGGTTCATAATTTTTCGTTGATGTGCTCTCAAAACTTTTACGGTATCGGCCATGAGCTCATTATACAAGTCATCAAGAGTAGGACTCCTCACATGCCGATTATTTCTTTCCACCCAGCTCGGAGTTGATTCATTCCCATCAATATGGGTTTCACTAGTTGAATCGTCCTATTGAGTCCCATCATGTAAATTATCCACAGGCTTGTTGTTGTTATTTGCACCAACATTGAGAAAATTGTTGGCATTATTGTGTGCCGTAGTTATGGTCTCTGTAATGCACCTGCGACTTTTCAAAGGTGTATGATGGCTATTTTTACTGACATGGTTGAAAGATTTGTAGAAGTTTTCATGGAAGATTTTTCCGTGTTTGGGTGCTCTTTTGATAACTGTTTAATGAATCTTGATAAAGTGCTTGCTAGATGTGAAGAGACGAACCTGCTGCTAAATTGGGAAAAGTGCCATTCATGGTACGTGAAGGTATAGTCTTGGGGCATAAGGTGTCCAAAAATGGTTTGCAGGTGGACAAAGCGAAGATGGAGGCGATTGAAAAATTGCCCCCTCCGACATCAGTCGAAGGCATTCGCAGTTTCTTGGGCCATGCAGGTTTTATCGACGTTTCATTAAAGATTTTTCGAAAATTTCTTCTCCTTTGTGCAGGCTTCTTGAGAAAGATGTCCCCTTCAAGTTTGATGATGCCTGTCTGAAAGCATTTGAGGAGCTGAAGGGAAGGTTAGTGACTGCACCAATTATCATTGCTCCGGATTGGGAGCAACCATTTGAGTTGAGGTGCGATGCGAGTGACATAGCTATTGGAGCTGTTTTNACTCCCCCCTTGAAGCGAAGTTATCGGTTCTTAGAGCCGTTTGAATTATAGGCACGCCAGAAGGGGTCGAACTCACCATTTGAATTATTTGAAGCCACCGATAACGCTTGTTGAAGCTCAGTCATTATACGATCATGTCTTGAGAGAGGGTTCATAATTTTTCGTTGATGTGCTCTCAAAACTTTTACGGTATCGGCCATGAGCTCATTATACAAGTCATCAAGAGTAGGACTCCTCACATGCCGATTATTTCTTTCCACCCAGCTCGGAGTTGATTCATTCCCATCAATATGGGTTTCACTAGTTGAATCGTCCTATTGAGTCCCATCATGTAAATTATCCACAGGCTTGTTGTTGTTATTTGCACCAACATTGAGAAAATTGTTGGCATTATTGTGTGCCGTAGTTGTAATATGCTTAAAATAGAAAAACTTTAAATCACTTTAGTAAAAGATGAGCAGATCAAAATAACACCACAATTGTCTAGGCCCCACAGTGAGCGCCAAACTGTAGGTAGAGTTGAATTTGTATACGTGATCTATAGACACGTGGATTAAATTGATCTGATTTGTAAAATAACGAAGAATAAAGAAAATAAAACAAATATACTTTAAGATTGATCCCAGGTGAATCAAGAATAATTGGAAAACTTCGATAATAGCCTTGTATAAAACTTAAAAAAATAAGAGAGAGAGCGTTTTTGTGATTCTAGTATTTCGTGTCCTAACAATGAGTATAGATATTGCTATTTATAGTTAAGTCGAAGGAGATAAGATCTCAAAATCACATCCTCTTAAAAATAAATAAAAACCCCTTTTGATGGTTTCATAACATTGGGAATAAATGCTATGATTTTCTGTACCGGCTGCTTCTTTAATGTTACTCTTTCCAACTGGTACCTTACTTTCAAATTCTCTTTCCCGATCCTCGTGTTATGGGGATCTATAACGATCACATGATTGTATCCAGTATTAACTATATGCTTACTCATCTCCACCATGTCATCACTGCCACATGTTTGCTCGAGAGAAGTCCACGTGTAAACAGTAAATTTTACCCAATGCATTCTTATTGTACCTTAGAAGGGGAACCTTGGAGCAACGGTAAAGTTATTTTCGTGTGACCTATAGATCATGTGTTAGAGCCGCGGAATCAGCCACTGATGCTTGCATCAGGGTAGGCTGCCTACATCACACCCCTTGGGGTGAGACCCTTCCCCAAACCCTACGTAAAATGCATGATACTTTGTGTACCGGGTTGCCCTTTTTTCCTTTTATTATTATACCTTCATTGTAATTTGTTTAATGAATTTTATTGGTGGGTAAGATAATCTTAGTTTTCTTACAGTCCCAAAGGATTACTACAATAGCTCAATTGGGTATTATTGATGTTGGTATAAAATATTTTCTCCAGTCTATTTTAATTAATTCTTTTGCGGTTCTCACACATTCTAAAGAATCCATCTTTTAACATTAATTAACGATGAAATTGACCATATTAATCTTTAATATCTCTTTAATTTGTTCATTCAAAATTTAACAGATACTCCGAGACTCTTTACTCCAAAGGCAACTTTGAAAAAAAGAAGTTAATTCCTTCTTGATACAACAACAACAAAAACAGCAACGGCCCCGTGTAATCCCACTAGTGAGGTCTGGAGAGGGTAATGTATCGCAGACCTTACCCCTACCCCGAGGGCAGAGAGGCTGTTTCCAGGAGACCCTCGGCTCAAGAAGACGACAAGAGACGATATATTAGTACCATCAATAGAGTTATAATAAAATAACATCAATATAGGAAATACGAAATAGATGAAAAGTACAATAATAACCGGTAGATAAAGCCATGCATCTGTAGATAACCACTAGCATCCTAAAACTAAATCCTAACTGAAAAAATTAAATATTGTGGATCATAAAAAAATACTAAAAATTTAATTAAAATGGATCGGATGGAGTAATCAATTTACATCATGAAAATAGCACAAAGTTATGAAAAATATTCGAGGTGTCTGATAGCTAATTTTTTTTTATTTTAAATAATTTGCCATTAAAAGATTAACCAAAGAGGAAATCGATGAACCGTAAAGAATGTAGCAAAGTAGAGAACGACCCGCTAAAAAGACAGGGAGAGAAATGTTCATATATCTATAGATGATGAGATAAGTTATAGTTAGAATTGTAGGATTACCTAAATTTTTGGAAGCAAATATATGATATTTATTTTTTTAACCATGATTAAAATCTTATTTTAGTTAATTAAATCTCAGCCATTAGTTTTTAACTATGCCATGTGTCTTTTATTCAAGTAGGAGCTTTGGGGAAAATGGGAAATGGAGGGGGAGTTGGAACCAAAATCTGCAATTCTTAAAAGTTTGGGGGTTCAATTGCACTATTACACATCTACAGAGGACCCAATAAAACCCAGCACCACCACGCGACCCCGTCCCATCCCAAACGGAAACTCAGTCGGGTGTGATGGAGGAAGAGGGAGCTGGATTCAGGCTAAGCAAGAGATTCTCCGATAAAGGAGGTGAAGTAGACTACAAAACTAAAGCTGGCACAGCATGGTCTCACAATTTCCTTAACCAGAAACCATGGCACCCTCTCTCTTACCCAAACCAACGTCGCAAGTGGATTGCCGAACAGACTCATGCCCAGCGAGAACAACGTGCTAGCGAAATTGCCCGCGAGGTTTGTTTTTTTAACTCTATTTTTCAACTAACCCCATATATACCCAGTTCCCCTTTTTCATGAGACGATTTTCTCGATTTGTTTTTTTTTTGGTTTGCTTAGTTTTGTCAAAAAGTTTCAATTTTGTTCGCTGATTTTGTCGCTTTTCTGATTTGGGTGTGTGTTTCAGTATGCTCAAGAACAGGAGTTTTTTCGTCAGACTGCTCTTGTCTCCAAGAAAGAGAAAGAGAAGGTAACCATTTTTATTTATTAAGTTCTGCTTGGTTTTTTTTGGTTATTTTCACCCTATTTAATCCCTTTTTTCTCATTAGAACAGTTGCATTGTTTGGTTAAAAATAGCAATTTTTAATCTTACATCCACATATTTCTTCAAGGAAAAAGATGAATAAGGATTGGTTATTCAATGATTACATGTTTAAATAATTTGAATCCGTTTCATAATCCAAAAACAAACAGGTATACTATTTTTGATGCATTTATATTTGAATGAATCATGGCATATTCTTTTCATGGTTGTAAAATATGAAGCAAACAGTATTGCACGCGTGGTATTTTGGGATGTTTTTGTGTGGAGATTGATTTGTTTCTCTGACAATGTTGTTAGATGGAGATGATGAAAGCTGTTAGCTTTATGTATGTGCGACCGCCTGGTTACAATCCGGAAAGTGCAAAAGCTGCAGAGATTGCTGACGAAGCACAAAAGCAGGGGCAGGGGCATGGCGGCACTTCTCAAGACACATCTGCAGCAGGGGTCTCCACTTCTGGGTAATGCTGCTAAGCTGCTGTAGTTTTCGATGATTCTAAACCTAAATTTTGTGAAAGAGACCGCTGCACAATGTATCATTGATTGTAAAACTTAAGACTCACTTATATTACTTTAATTCGTCATAGGAGACCTGAAGTGCCACCTGTTCAGGAGAAAAAGAAACCAAGGCCAAAGGATGTTTTTGGCCGTCTTTTGCCAACAGAAGAAGAATTTGAAGTGCTTAAAAATGCTCCAAGGTATGTGTTGTTTTCCTTCAGGATTGATATCCAAGTTACGGAATTATATTGACATCAACTTTTCAGTTTTAAGCTATTTGAATTTGAGGAGCTTTATAGTTTAGCAGTTTGTTCTGCTAAAGCTGCTTGGAACGACTTGTTGTTGTGGCAATTTGATGAGCTATATTACACCTTCTCTTTTCTTTATTCCCTTTCAAGGAGTTGTATGACATCAAAGAAGGAAAATAGCGTCTTATGAGCCTTAGAAGGGAACATTTCTCCTTTAAATGTCTATGCTGACTAGACATTATGTTGCAAAGCATTGAATATCAGACACATTGTATTGTGGTATATAACTTGGAGGGAAATAGTGACGAGACATGCATGAAGTAATTGGTCTAGCTATTAACTTTTCTAGTGGTGATTCCTTAGGTATATTTTTTCTTTTGTAATAAGTCAAGCTATTCCTCACTACTTCACCAAGATCGTGTTATTATCTTAGGCACAGTTACTTGAATAGACTAAATCCGCTGGATGTAATTGTGCCTTTGTCTTTGTTATTGCATAAGCATTTCTCACCTCCTTTTTATCAATGTGCTACTGTTTTTCTACCGTCCTTCTGGTTTTGGAACTAGGATCCGAGGTAAAATTAGTGTTTGCAGGGTTAAATGGAATCTGTGACATTCCACTTGCGAGTACGGTGATTGTATTTTGTTTAACGGGAAGTATGCAGGGTAGGAAATAAAAGAAATAGATGTTCTCAGAATCAGAGATAAGGGATTGAGGTAAGCTACGATTTGGACAAGATGAGAACTGATGTCTCAGTTGAGAAGACTGAGACATCATCATCTCATCTTGAGAAGACAATCCACTTACTTCATCAAAAAAAAAATGTCTCTATTGAGATGACTGCAACATCAAACCTTGCCTTCTATCCATTGTATACCCTTATTTGGACCATCAGTTGGTGGTTATAACTAAATTAACTGGTTAGCCTTGACTTCATAAATTTGTAAGAGAATACCAAACTTAAAGGACCTACAAAGCACCAATGCAACCAGCAAGTTTAACTGCCTCTCTCTTTCTACTCCAGCAGAGAAGTAGAAGATAACTTACCCTACAAGTTCACCTTCCTTGTTCTCCTTCCTATTCTTCAAACCAGCTAAGCATATTCCTCAACTCAAAGAAATATACTTGGACACACGGCTAAGGGCCTAGCCTAGTGGTAAACGAAGTAGGTGCAAACTTTGAAAATCAAGGTTTGAATCCCAGCGACAAAACGTACTAGGAGATTTCTTCTAAATCTGCCTAAGCTTACTTGGTATTTGTGCCGGTGGGAGATAGCAAGTATACGATAGAATAGTTGAGCTGCACGCAAGTTGCCCGTGACATCACTCTAAAAAAAGGACATATACTTGGATGCATAGAGTTAATATGTCTTCAATTCATGCTATCTTAGTGCCACTCAAAAATCCTTTTGATGAGATTCTTTTTTTCAAAAGTTCCTTATTTGCTGCGAATTGAGTTTGAGAAGTTCACTTCTTCTTTTTTTTCCGCCTCTAAACAGAGTTTTCCACATTCAAATCACCCTTCCAAATGTCTAGTGATGCCTTTTGGGTCCGGGTGAACTCTATATCCACTGCTTTACATGAATGCACCTTTTTTGGGGTGCTATGATATTAATACGAATTTTTCAAAAACAATTTTATATCCACTCCTTTTGAGGATCTTGTCATCAAGAGGATTCTAAGTTGCTATATCGATAAGTCACTAGATGGATCTTACTCCTCCCTTAAAAATGTTGAATTATCTTTATTTAGGTTTCTCTTTGTAGTAGATTTTGTTTTCCTCGAATGAAGTCCCTAAACGGGTAATCAAAGAAAAGATGGAGCTACTGATACTATGCTTGTTCTCATTGGAGAGGGATCGATGAGGTGTCAAACGTTTTGTTTTTTTATTTTTTGTATCTGCTTAAGGAAGAGAGTGATTTCAGCAATAGAGATTTGCTGCCCAAGAACATCATCTGGTGGGAAATCATTATCTAGGCTCCACAAAAGAGTGTAATTGTCTGATATGCAATAGGGACTATGCGGGATGTTAGGGTGATAAAATGGTGAAACTAAAATGAAATTTTCCAAATCCTTGGACTTTTTCTAGTTTTCTTCATACTAAAATCTTATTTTAGTATTTCCAAGCTACAACGACGGGAGTTATATTCATGCTAAGAAGATTGATGGAAATTCATTGCGAGAGGAAGCATAACCTACACAATAGTCATTGACATGGGGAAAGCATATAGTAGAGTGCCAAGAGAAGTCCTTCAGTGGGTGTTGGAGAAGAAAAAAGTTGATATTAATCATATAAATTTCATAAAGGATATGTACGAAGGTGTTGTCTCTAGAGTTAGAACAGTGTAGGAGATACAAAGTAGTTTTCTATTACAGTAGGTGTACACCAGGGATCTGCCATTAGATCAATACTTTCAATAATTGTTTATGCTAGTTATGGATGGGCTAACTAACATTATACTGGATGAGGTCTTATGGTGTGATATTAGCATACGATTGTGTTAATTGACGATACTACCGGAAGTGTCAACCAAAAACTTAAACTATGGAGAATCACGCTAGAGAGTTAGGGTTGTAGTATGAGTAAAATAAGACTACACTTAGCCACAAATGAAGAGTGAAGTAGAGGTTATATGGCTTGTACACGAGGTTTCTCCCATCATTAATAAAATTATTTACTTTATCCGGAGAAAAGAAGAGTGAAGTTGGGGTGAGATTAGACGGGATTATAGTGCTTAGACACAAATTGTTATGACTAGGCTCGATGAGATGCAAACTGTTTAGATGTTTAGGTTTGATGTTTAAGAGGATGTTGTGATAGATGAAGATGTAATGCATAGAATGAGAATAGGATGGTTGAAATGGATAAATATTACCAGAGTGTTATGCGATAGGAAAATACCTACCAAAGTGAAAGGCAAGTTTGGCACAATGGTTATAAGGCCGATAATCTTGGACCTCTAAGTTCCAATATATCAACAAGATAGTGTCATAGAAATGTGAAGATTAAGACTATGTGCAGTCATACAAGATTAGAGCGGATTAGAAATGATGACATTCGGCTGAATGTACAAGCAACATACAAAGAGGATAAAATGAGAGGTCACTTGAGATGGTTTGGACATGTCATGTGTCGATCTTTAGAGGCATTGCTCTATAGGTGTGAAACCATGGTGATTGAAATGTGTTAAAAAGGGGACGAGTTAACCTAAGAAATTATATGAAAGAAATTGTCTTGAAAGACTTATAATCTCTTGAAATCCACACAGACTTAGCAAAAGATAGGGTATAATAAAAGAAAAAGATCCATATAGGCGATATCAGTTGGTTTCGATTAAGGCTTTTACTCATGTAGTGCACTTATACCTTATCAAAGAAATCATATTAGTACTCTTACTTTAAAATCCAACATAGCTAGGAATATTTTATCTTGTTAGAGGTCTGTTATCCCAGTAGAAAATGTTGAAACCTAGTGTTGGAGAAGATAGTGAGGATTCACACCAAACCCAACTAGCTTGGGATTAAGCCAGAGTTGTTGTTGTAATCTTTTTCTGTGCTTTATTGGCTTCCTTGGTGGTAATTACTGAATACTTTATTTCCAATGCAGAGCCAATTTTGATTTTCTTTGAGTTAAATAATGTGATTGTGCAAATTATGATCTTCCTGTTGTTAATATATCTTCCTCGTTTTGCTTCTGTCTATTTTTTTTTTTTTTTTGCTTTTCAATCTATTATGGTGGAACTGAACTTATGGTAGCTTTTGCCTTCCGAGTACCAAGATATATTGATGCCAGATGATTGTTCTTCACCTCTAGGTTGGAAACAGGTGTTGCTGGAAGGGCCAAACCGTTTGGAATTGAGATACGTAATGTCAAATGCGTCAGATGTGGAGCCTTTGGCCATCAGAGTGGTGATCGTGAATGTCCATTGAAAGATGCTATTATGCCGAATGAAGAGAGTCGAATAAAAAGAGATGATCCTTTAACTGCTATCCTGGCTCAGACAGATGCTTCTGAGGTAAATGGCCTATGTTTATGTGTGCGTGCATGGTTTTTTTCCTTTTTCTCCACCCACAAGCTAAAGTGGTCTGTTTGCGCGTGCATGTTTTACTTTTTCTTACATAGCCATTACGACTGTACCAGTTGACCTCCCACCCAAAAAAAAAAAAAAAAGAGAAACAGAAAAGTTTGTGATAGAGGGGTTGAAACAGTGAATTTAATGGAGATAGGTTAAGAATTTGTTTTCCACGTTCCAGTATGCTGAAAAGCTTCAATTTTCAAAGAAAAATAACTTGTTAAAAACATTTCGCTAAAAGGAAGTAGGAATTAGAGGGCTGGAAATCCTCCTTTAGAGAAAGGAATCATATTATGGAGTAGATCTAGCTTTCTTCAGAGAAGGGGAGTCATATTGTGGTGTAGATTCTTAACGTTTTGGTGTACTGCTTGTTTACAGGAGAATTTTTCCATTATTAATAAGATTATTTACCCTGTAAAAGAAATGCTCCTTTAGAGAAACATATGCTCTGGGGTAGAGCCTCCTCTATTCATTGTTGATGCAATTTCACTTAAAGCACCCGTAAGTTGATCCATAAGGATGCCAAGAGACCTCTTCTCTTCCGGAAGATATGTACTTGGAGCTCTAAGCTTGGAAGGTTGCTCTATTTCTTGTAGTCTGTAGAAAACAACGTATAGATCTGTCTCATCTTTCCAATTGTACAGTTCATTAAGTTTCCAACTTTTAGGCTCTGTTTCATTTTTCCATCTAAACATCTAGGGTTACAATTTGCCATCTTAAAAGTTCAACTCATTGTACACTAACCACTTTCAAGGGGCAAACTGGTCAGTATAGAAAACGAAAGAGAGAAGGAATAAGCTGAATCAATTTTGTTGAGTTATATATTGTTCCACATACTCTCTTTAAGGACATGCCCTTTGTAAGGGCATCTGAAAGGGTTTATAAAGGTTTTGAACTACATCAATTGTCTAAAGTTGTGGGTTGGATACTCATATTGTTTCATGCATTGACGCTCATTTTTGCACGTGTATGTATACAGTCGTATCCAAGTGTGAACTTCAATATTGTGATGTCCACATAAGAACCTCAAAATTGGGTTGCACATGTTGGAGGAAGTTGAAGTATATGATATCCCACATGGGGCACATTAGGGCACTCTTAAAGGTTTATAAAGGTCTTGGTCTACTCTCTTATCATTTCCTTAATGTTTTTAGTTGGGTACCTACTGCCTAGATTTTCCACAAGCTCGTCAAAACAATTGAAAGAAATGAGCACCCCCCCCCCCCCCCCC